TCTCAGAGATCACCAGATTTCCAGATGATTTAAAAATTTAAAAACTTAAAAAAATTAAAAATTTAAAAATATAAATCGAAATCTTTTATATTTTTTAATTTCTTTAAATTTTTCAAGGCTCCGAAAAATTTAAAAAATTTTAGAAAATTAAATCACAATCTTATATATTTTTTAAACTTGTGAAATTTTTTAAATTTTTTCAAATTTTTAAATCATCTGGAAATCTGGTGATCTCTGAGAACAGTCCTACGATTTAAATTTTTTAATTTTTTTAAATTTTAGGAGGCTCCGAAAAAAGTAAAACATTTCAAAAATATAAAAGATTGCGATTTAAATTTTGAAATCTGAACATATCAGACGACAGCCCAATTTAAATACTTTATTTTTGATATAGTATATAATTATTAATCTATATATTATATGTTAGCTTAAATTATCTCAAGGCAGACTGCGCGGCACATAGGGTATACTCTTCCCTCTTACTCCCCCCCCTCCCATGTGATGATTCATTGATAAATCAATTGTTTTGCACCCCTCCCCTCCACTCCCCTCCCCATCCCCTCCCCTCGCCAGCGCCACTAGCATTCTGGACACACCGTCACACCATAAGGTGAATAAGGTGAAGTCATGCGCGTAGCAGTCACACCAGTACGACGCTGGCCATGAGGTTGCGCAATACAGCACGAACCCTGCGCAGTGAGGTTGCGCTATGCGGCTTCGATGCTGCGCGTGCGCGCCCGGCAGCCTGACATAGCGCGTACTGCGTTCACAGACCATATTGCTCGACACCAACGAGCATCGATGCAACACAGCCTCTCTGCAAAGCCCTGTGGAGAAACCTCTCGCTTCGCGGAGCACCATTCGACTCAGCCTTATACCCTCGCGTGGCGACATCTTACCGCATCGTGGAGCACCGCTACACAGCTATTTACTATTACGCACCCTTCCCATCAGCCACCCACCATAGCGTGACGTCCATCCCTGGCAGTACCGGCGGCTGCGACGCAACGCGTGCAGGCCTGTAATCCTGACGCAGTGCGTGTAGCTGTGGGACCATAAGCTGGTTAACGTGCGAGCGTTTACGCATTGCGACTTTTACGCGCGCCTGTTTTCACACACCTTTACACAAACGAGCGTCGACGCAACGCAGCATCTCTGCAGAGCCGGGTGGCGCAATCTGATCGCAACGGTGTTCCTCTTGAGCCTTCTTGTGCTCTTTGGCTTTGTTGGTTTCATCCATGACTGTTCAAGGGGAACGTTCCTGAAACACTGGAGACAGTCCCTCACCAGAAAAGGTCCCGACAGCTACCCGGTCCGTCTCTACCTTTCGTGTTTCCTTGCTCAAGTGACTACGAGAAAGGTCGATATGAGAGGTTGCTAGAATTTGCAGAGATGAAAAAAGACCACCCGGAAAGGATTCCACCAGACACCTCTAGGAACACCGTTCTTGAGAGGATGAATCAAACAGATGAAGAACGATATGGATAGAGAACGCGATGGCGGCAGAGTGAGCTAGAATCGCGATTCGAGCGCTCACACTACCGAGCAGGAGTTTCAAGGTATGTACATTATGATCATTGGTGCTTCACCTGACCGCGGCCCTTTTTGTGTCAAAAAGATTCGCAAACTTACGCGTTCCATTGCGGGCTGTCTGGAAAATGTATTTTTGCAGGTCAACCATGCAAATGCACTGGGGGTAGGGATGACAAACACTAGTGATTTTGGCCAGCCTTAACGTTCTTAACAAGAATGGCCATACAGAAATGAGCTCGAAGAGAGAACCGATGCCAGCAGTTTTTCACACGTGAGAGATTTCCTCCAACCACGTGCTTCCAGGAAAACACCTTTCCGGTTTCTCCACCGACCTGAGCGGCTCCTTGAGCTTCCCAGTGTCCTTTTGCCCCCAACACCTTCGACCTGTTCCGGGCCGGGCGGCGGCTCTCCGAGGAAGGAATCCGCTCCACCGAGCAGCAATTCACGGTCTCGCAGAAGTGGCGGGGCTTTTGCTGGCAGCCAAGGCCTCGGTAGATGCCAAGAGCAATGGTCGCCGGGGGGCCTCGGGTCCTGGGAGAGACCTTGGGCTCCTTTGAGGCCTTCATGAGGATACAGACGGCTGACGTTGTAGGGGCTTTGATTCGTCCTTCTTATGTTGCATCCTTTTCTGTTCCTTGATGTTGCTATTATGTTTCTGCACTCTTTGGTTTCGGCGCTGTCGGTTTCGCCGTGCTGAGAAAGAACACCTTTAGTCCTCGCCATAGTACATGGCAAGTTAGATGTTCCACATCAATAATCATAGGCGTCAATGGCTTTGATACTTTGGCCAGTCTTAATGTTCTGAGCCAGAATTGCCATAGTTGGGCATACAGACAATTTTTTCACATGGTATCTCGGCTTTCATCTTTGAGATAGATTTCCTCCCAGCTCCGACCTGCTCCGGGCCGCTGGGCAGCCGCTCTCCGAGACGAAACTCCCCTCCACCACGCAGCGGCGAATGGCCGCGGAGAAGTGGCGCGGCTTTTGCTGGGAGCCAGCGCAGCGGTGGATGCTAAGAGCGGCTTTGGCCCGGGTCCTCGGGTCTGGGAGTTTGTGGGACGGGGAGATCTTGGGCGCCTCGAAGGCCATTGGGCTCCTTTGTGGCCTTGATGAGATTAGAAGCGGCTTATCCCATACGGGTTTTGATGGGTTGTGTTGGCTTCTGCTCCATTTTTTATGTTGCATTTGTTTGAGATATTGGATACGCGTGATTTTTCTGCGCTCTTTGGTTTCGGCGCTGTCGGTTTCGCGGTGCTGGGCAAGAACGCCCTAACGTGGAAAGTCAGATGCCAGCAAGATGTTCCACATTTCAGAAAAGTAGTCAACAATTAAAGGCATCAATGACTGAGACACCAACCCAGCTAATTGGAATTTGTGGACTGACAGAATACATCAGAATACTATAACAAGTAAATCTGGCCAGTCTTAACGTTCTTATAACCATATACAAATGATCTCGAAAAAACAAAATACGCAGTTTTTCCCACCCGCCGGGCAGCCGCTCTCCGAGGTGAAACTCCACTCCACCATGCAGCAGGAGAGGGTCGTGGAGATTTGGTGCGGCTTTTGCTGGGAGCCAGGGCAGCGGTGGATGCTAAGAGCGGCTGTAGTCCGGGTCCTCGGGTCTGGGAGTTTGTGGGACGGGGAGATCTTAGTCTTGGACGCCTCGAGGGCCATTGGGCTCCTTTGTGGCCTTGATGAGATTAGAAGCGGCTTATCCCATACGGGTTTTGATGGGTTGTGTTGGCTTCGTTGCTTCGTTCCTCTCTTTTGTTTAATTTGCTTATGTTCTTTGATGTTTGATGGCAGTTGTTCGTGCGTCGATCGGGGGTCTCTCCTTGGAGTTTCAGACGGAGATTTTTGGGCCCTTGGAACCTGGAACCAGTTGGCCGTTTTGGACCGGATGAGGGTAGACACTGCCGCTCTTTAGGATTTCTTTCGTCGTGGATGTGGTATGTTTAACATTGTTTAGCAATGTTTCTGGTCTGGCTGTCATTATTTGGTTGGATGATGGTGGAAGGGCTTTGATGCAATCATCCAAGCGCATATCAGTCGGTCGTGACGCTGGAATTGAAGCCTGTCCCTGCAGGTCGGGAGTAGGTCACATTTCTGGTAGGTTGGTCTTGGTCACCGTTGCGGTGTGGGTTCTGCGGCGGTTGAGGCGAGACGCCGCTGGATGCCGCAAGAAATTCAGGCCACACCGAAGTTGTGAGGATCCTGGAGGCGGCAGCGTCTCGGCTGCGTGTCAGAGACCTCGACGTTCGAGTGTCTCAGTTGCGGCGTCCACTTTTGAGCGCTTAGTTTGTAAAGGATGTGCGCTAGCGCCTACTGGTACCTATATTCACACCGCTTCGAGGTGGAAGCCACCCACCTGCACAGATTAAATGGTAAATTGTATCAGTAGCGCCCCGCGAGGATACAGGATGGCTGTGGGAAGCAGCAGCTTGTTCTGCTGGAGCCGGTGTGTCTCGGTCTGTCTGTCTCAGTCCGTCTGTCTTGGTCGGTCTGTTTCAGTCTGTCTGTCTCAGTCTGTCCGTCTCGATCTGTCTGTCTCGGTCCCATGTTCTACACACAAAATGCACCCCCCAAGCTAAAGCTGAAGCTGTTTATCTAGCTAGCATATTCCGGTTTGTTGATTGCCTCGAAGCTTACACAACGCCTCAGCGCCTTCGGTGCGGGCGGATTTGGCTCTCAAGAAAAAGGTGTATTTTTCAGGCTGTTACTTGTTTGAGATATAGGTTATCAGCCGTAGGGGTCTTTTCCCTCGTCGCTTTCACTCGTGCCTCGCATTGTGCTCATGGCTGCGCCAGGGACCCCTGTGATCATTGACATTTTGTCCGACAGGGATGTCATGTCTGCGCGAGAGAATACAACGGAAGCTGCGAGCCCAACCGAAATGCGTTGGTTCCTGTTGGAATTGGGTTTCCGGCTTGGCCTGCAGTTCCCAAAGCCACGCCGACGGGACATGACGCAAGCGGGAACGCTGTGCTGACTCACGCCAACAACCAATTCAATGTATTGAATCAGCGTGTCCATGTTCTCCAAGCTGCCACCGCTGATGCGAAGTTCGTTGAAGCGATTGGCGAGGAGAGACATCCGCAGGCCATGGAAAGGCTCATGTTTGTGAGCGCTCAGCGTGACGAGTGACGAGTTGCGAGCGGAAGGACAAAAGGTTATGACTGAAGCTGCAAGTGTGTTCAGTGAAAGAAAACGAACCGCTGAAGCACGAAGCAGACGGCTTCATTGAGGCTACAGCAACGGGCTACGAAGCATATGCTGAAGCATCGGCGTGAGAACTTAGACCAATGAAGCAACATTTTCAGAGCCAGTTGTTGGATGCACTTGCTCGAAGTGACAACACCATTGGAAAGCTGTTGCTTCCTTGAATGAGCGCGTTGAGTATCGAATCGCCTCCATTTGGAACTGGGGCAGGCGACGTGCAATCTCAGCTGAATGCGCTGCGCTATTGCCATTGAGCCCAGATGTCAGAGACAAGGGCTCACCAACCACAGGGTCCAAAATATTCACCTTCTCTCGTACCTCAAGGTGCCCTTCGACCCAAAATATATTAAGGAAGATACCTGGGTTACCACTCCCAAGTTTGAAGTAGAGGAAAACATTTTTTTGCAACTTCGTTGAGCCCAGGTAGACTGCATGATTTCATGAGTGAACCAGCGCCACCAGCGGATGCTCTTCATCCCGAATGGACAACCTGGAGGTGACCCCTCTCCAAGGGGAACCTTCGGCCGGACCTGAAGAAAATGGCAGGTGGAAGCGACGATGATGGGAGCGAGGGCGATGATGGCGTTTCGGATTGAGATTTGTCAGACAAGTTTTCAATCGGACCAACAGTGTTTGGAAGGCTCATCGCCGGTTTGGTCGATCCAGAGGGATTCACAACGCACACCAAGTTGTTGTCAGTGCTCGCCAACGCTTTTCAGGTGAAGTCGCAAGAAAAGTGAACCTTTCCAAGGAGAAAGAGTCTGCGGCCGACTGTTCAGCAAGAGGAAGACAAACAATCTTTAGCGAGTGGCACGGCAATAATTGGGGTTCTCGTGGGAAGGGGCCCAGTCCAATGGGGTTCTCGGAATGGGCTCCGTGGTCCACGAATGGCTCATCTATTCTTCGCTAGTCGTCGGAAGTGGGAAGGTTCGCCGTATTGGTTTAGGTTGTCTTGCCTTGTGCAGCGCATGTCTCGCTTTAATTTCGCGGCCTTTGGGCACCGTGGCAGGGCGCCCAGAGTGCTGGGTGGAAACCCATGCTTGCGGCTTGAGCATCCCGCCTTTGATCGCGAAATACATGCCGCTTGACCCAATTCTCCATTGCAATGCTTTCGTTCGCACATTGTCCTGGCCATGTGCTCAGGTCTTCATCGTGGCCAGTTTTCTGCCTCTTCGGTGCCGCCCGTGATGAGCACGGGCCGCAACGCGGGGTATTTTTGTAGACTAGCGCCGACTGACCTCTACATTTGGCTCAAGAAAAATGTGCATCTTTCAGGCCGTGACTTGCTTGAAATAGGTTCGGCCAGCCAAGGCTTCAAGCGAACAAGAGATTCAGATGGCCCGGAGCCAAGACAACTTCCACGCGAGCGGTTTTCGGTCTGAGCACTGGGAAGGCAAACATCAAAGATCAGCATTCTAATGTGAAGTTGAGTTGTTTGTTTTCGAGAGGCTCCAACTTTGACATTATCGAACCTGAGCTCACTGGCAACCACTCACAAGTCACAACCAACCAACCATTGATGAAAGGAATTATGTGGATCCCCCTTCCACTGCTGTACATATGTCAAATATATGACATTTATGGCAAATATAAAGGTATAGAACAGCAGTTATCATGATTTGTCGTCGGGTTGTTTCCTTTTCATGATCATCCACAAGCTTCACGCCGGGTCTTTGCTTGCCAGGCCCCAACGAAGGGCAAAGGAAAGCAGCATGGGTGTGGTGCTGAGGAAATCATGTCTTGCACGTCGAGTGGCTGGCTGTGGGTGGGGGGCACTAGCAGCTCAGAAAGTATTACTTTTTGTTTTCGTTGGACTCAAGGGCTGCCCTTTCCTTCAAGCAACGGGTGTGTCCATTTCAATGCAAAGTTTGTGTGAGGGCAGTACAAACTGTAAAGTCTTATTGTAAGATAACTTTGGCCGGGATCTTTGGAGCTACAGAGGAACTTAATTACACGTTACGATGTTCGACTTAAGCAACTTGCTGATAGTTTCACGACTGCAAACCATACCCTCCCCTCCATTGACTAGAGTATATGAATGCCTACATTGACTCCTGAAACCATCCCAATGTAGGTATAGATTTCATACATGGAGTGTTATACTCTAGATTCTTGAATGTTTTGGGGATCGCCTCCAAAGCACAGGAACCACTCGCAGGTGTTGCTTTCACGGAAAACCACAGAACACTAATTCAGTCGATACATAAGTGCAGGGAGTGTTTCTGCTTGCTTATTGAATGTTCAAGGTTGAGAAACCAGCCAAAACATGCGCACTGTTTTGTAGATATCCTCGAGAAAATGCACAGTAGTTAGACACAATCGTCCCGCTGCACACCACACCAGTTTGTTGAAGAGTCTCCAACTAGAGAACCCATGAGAACTGCGACTCGCACATTTTCATTTTTTGCGGGGCCCCGCTGCCTGACAGAAAACACGTATTGAAGCCATCCAGACTGCAGAAAAGTCATACGAGACAGCCGTGTACACCCATGTACACCTGCGCACATTCTCTTCCCCTCCCAAGATATGCGTGTTTGAGAAGAACAATCAACCAACACTAACATGTTGCGAACTTAGTATCTCCAAGCCCGCGTGTCACGTGCAACAACATTGCTGCATTACTGTTGCTCAGGGCATGCCAGCATTTCTCAGTCTGTTTGGATGGCTGTCAGTCATTATGGTGTGTGTGCATAAATAGTGCATAAGTATCATTGTTCTGAAAACAAATCTAATTGTATTTGGAAGACTTGGATCATGATCAACAAATTTTAGTAATGTCAAGGCAGCTTGAACACAAGGGCCACCTGGTTTATCGTTTATCACACTTCAGCCCACGTGTTTTTTTGTTCCCTGAAGCCAGACGAACACGGCGTAGCCCGTTCTTTGGGTCTTCGTTCTTTGCGGATCCTGTGGCGAAAGCCACAGGCAGAAGAGCGCTGCCGCCCATACGCGCGGATCAGATGCGAGCTGAAGAAAACAAGACACGGTGTTGAGACGCACGCTGTGCGCCATGTTTGACATGTCATGTCATGAGTTTCTTTTTCAAACCAACCATATCCCACCGTAGAGGGTGGGCTCGAGAAGCTTGGAAAAGCTGCGTGTGGCGTTAAGTCGCCTTTTGCCCTTAGCTTCGACCTCGTCGTTGCTTCGTATCCGTGTGCCGTGGACTTCGTGCGCTACGGCTACTTCTCTACATTGGTAGCGGAGCCACCGGTCTGGTGGCTCCCTGCCTGTGCACTCCGCGACTACGAGCTCTTTGTCCTGGTTGAGACCTACGGTGGGTTTGATTGTTCTCGCTCTTGCATGGTGGTTCCTTCTACTCCAGCACTACGCCCGTGCAGAGCCCTACGTCCCTGAGAACGTCACCATGGCCTCGAAGAAGGCCCAATCCGCAGGCTCAGGTCAGAGCTCGAAAGATGGCACGTTCATGGACTTGAGGGACAGTTTCGTGCCGCTGTTTTCCGGCCAGCCGGCCGACTATCGGGAGTGGAGAGCTCGCATCCATCTTTACCACAGAAAGATGGCATTGACAAAGCGGTCGACAGAGAGTGTGCTCAACATCGTGGGCTCCTTCACCGGTGTCACTTGGCGTTTGTTTCAGGATTGGGGGCATGAAGAACTAGAGAAAGGAGAAGCCTTTGAGAAGGTCATTGCCACCCTGGATGCAAACTTCGCCTATGACACCAAAGTTCAGTTGCCCACTGATTTCGAGTCATACTTCAACTTGCTGCAACGCACCCCCGGTCAAACACTGTTGTTGTTTGTTGCCGATCATGAAGAAGCTTATAGAAAGTTGCAGCAACACCGCATTGAGCTTCCTCCCTCCGTTCAAGGATGGCATTTACTCCGCCGTTCTGGCCTCACTCGTGAACAACGACAGCTCATCACCCTTCGTGCACCCAACTTGGAGAAGACTGAGGTGATTGAGGCAATGTATTTGATCCTGGGCCAGGACTACAAAGGTGGTGGATGGAATTCAGAGCGGAACCGACGGTTCGGAGGCCACTCCCCTTCCTGGAAGCATCGTGCCTATGCTGCTGAAGACTATGAGGAAGACCCGCACCAGGAAGATGAAGGATGGGAGTATGGCTACTATGAAGAAGATGAGTCTTGGGCTGATGATCCGCAGTCTCAGGACTATGACCTCTACGATGATGGCCAGGACTTCGACCACGACGCTGGCTACTATGGTGAGGAGGATCCCTGGCCTGAAACGGAAGAGCAGCAGAATCCCACACAGATGGCTGCCGCCTACGATTCTGCCTTTGCCTCCTACACTGACGCAAGACGACGGTTTCAGGAATTGAAGACAGCTCGTGGATACCTTCCCATTGTGGCGCTCACAGGTGGTGGTAGCACTTCACCCACGGCTACATCACCACAGTCGCCTACTTCCTGGAGAACGAAAGGAAAAGGGAAGGGTGGGTCCAAAGGTGGAAAGTCCAAAACCACCATCCGATATCCACCGCAAGGAGCCGGCCCCAAGGGACGAGCGAAGGCCAACATGACCTGTCTTCGCTGTGGCCAGCCAGGCCACTGGGCAGCGAACTGCCCCCAATCGTCGTCAAGTCCTTCGGCACGATCAGCTGGTGTCAAACGACCTGCATCGATTATGGCTATGACTCCCGCCGCTGAGGAGAGTGCCTTGCTGATCTTCCAAGATGTCACAGGAGCTGAACGCCCCGAGTGTGTCATGTTGGACCCAGGTGCCAGTGCTTTTCTCTCGGGCTATGGACCGTTCAGAAGGTTCCTGGACCACTTGCGCTCCCTGGACTTCCCGATCGACAAGATCAAGATGAGCAAGGGTCGACGTCGCTTTCAGTTTGGTGGCGAAGCATCCTTGTGGTCAGACTGGTCAGCCCATGTTCCCACCTTCGTGGATGGCAAGTATGGCACGATTGAGTTGTTCCTGCTTCCGGGCAACACGCCCATGTTGTGTGGAAGGCCGATCATCGAGGCCTTGGGCATGACGATGGACTTTGCTCAACGCCGTCTTCGCATTGGAAGCTCGCCCTGGATGTCGGCCACTCTTGGTCGCCAAGGTGAATACCTGTGGTCCCTCACCAATGAGCATGACAATGTCCACTACCATCCGGAGAAGCCGGAGTTTGTGCTCAGGACCAACGACCAGGGCATTGAACAAAGTGATGGTTTCCTGCTCAACGACTTCCTGGCCGAAGAACATGGCTTCACCTCGTTCGAGAAGATTGATGAGCCAGTGCACTCACCTTCAACCCGGCCTCTTCGAAAGCATGAGCTGAAGACCATGGACACACAGTTGGCCACTCAGCTGAATGATCTGTCGGCCTATGTCACGAAGGAGCTTCACCGTCCTGAACGTCCCCGCATCCTATGGGAGATCTATTGTGGTAAGGCTCGCACTGCTCAGCTGGCTGAAAGCATTTGGTATTTGGAGGCAGTCGATCGGTTGCTGAGGGCAGGCTTGAGACAGCATCCACTGGATCCATGTGCCTTCCTCATCTACGAGAAGGACGATCCTGAGTACTCCGATGATGATCCGATCCACAAGGAGACCAGCACTCTTGGCCCCGAGAAACTATGCGGCATGGTGATCATGCACGTTGATGACATGTTGGGTGCTGGATGTCCTCGTTCTCCCAGGTACAAAGCAGTCACCGACATGCTGCGCTCGACCTTCTCATTTCGAGAGTGGAAGGAGGACAATGACAAGCTGGAGTACTGTGGATGTGAGCTGGAGCGCACTCCTGAGGGTGGCAGACGCCTACATCAGGAAAACTACTTCAGCAAGGTGAAGCCCATCACCATCTCCAAGCACCGTGATCTGCAAGAGCCGCTTGATGAGAAAGGCATCACTCAAGTCCGCGGCATCCTTGGCTCTTTACAGTGGCCCGCCGTGCAGACCTCGCCTCACCTTCAGTGCTCGACTTCGATGTTGTCAGGACAAGTGAACAAGGCCACCACACAGACCGTCCACGACTGCAATCGGCTTTTGAAGTTCGCCAAGGAACACAAGGATGTCAGTCTATACTACAACTTCATTGGACACCCCAGTGAGCTGCAACTCTTGTGCTTCTTTGATGCTGGCTTCACTGCCAGGTCTGACGGCAGCTCACAAGGTGGCTACATCCTGATGTTCGTCAACCGACAGTTGTTCACTTCTGGCGACGATGGCGAGTATCACGTACTGGACTGGCGAAGCTTCCGCACTCCAAGGGTCACCCGAAGCTCACTGGCTGCAGAGGCCCAGGCTGGAGGACAAGCTGTGGACAGCATTGATTTCGCTTGCAAGTATTGGCACTACCTGCACCATCCCAACCTCAAGTTGAAGGATTTGTTGAAGTCAACGTCGACATTGACGCCGACGATGGTGACTGATGCCAAGGCTTTGTATGACTCCTATCACCGTGAAGGAGTCAGTTCATCGGTGATTGACAAAAGGGTCAGCCTTGAGATCCGTGTGATGAAGGAGATGATAGAGGAATTGGGTGGCCAGCTTCGATGGATGAGCTCTGAGCGTCAAGTGGCTGATGGACTCACCAAGGAGTCAGCCCGAGCTCTACTTGCAGCACGCCTTCGTCATCGCCGCATCAAGTTGACCTGGGACCCCGAGTATGTGGCTTCAAAGAAGAAGACAAAAGGAGAAAAGGCTAAGGCCATTGCAGAAACCACTGCAGCAGCACCTCATGTTCCACCACACCAGGAAGAGAATGAGACCCCTGAGGACGAGCAGATTCCTGCCAATGTCAACGTTTCGGAGTACCCGGAGATTTTTTCGAATGAAGACCAGCCAAGGAATGAGGATACTCCTGACGGCGTCTTTTGTGTCCAGAACATGGAGCCTCTAAAGTATGTGTTTGCCATGAGCCATGGCGGCTTGCTTATGGACACCACCTTCAAGTGTCGCATTTCGAATGTCTTCGTGATGTTGCTGCTGGCCTCAATGCCTACCTTGACCAAGGGTCAACAGTGTGTGGCTGAAGGGGAAGAGAAAGAGAGTGAAGAAGGGCAGCTATGGCTGTGGTTGGCCATCCTGGCCATGTTGCACGTCCTTGCGATGGCTACCGTCTTCATGATCGGCCGTTGGACTGCACCACGCCTGGTTCAGGAGAAGGAGAATGCGGTTGACACCAAGGAGGTTGAGACTCAAAAAGATGAACCCATCGTGCATTCACGACTTCGAGAACTACTCCAACTGGAGCAGCAGCGCAGTACTGAAGCTGCGCGATCAGCCAAAGAGTCCAGAACCGCACTGGACCTCCTGGTCGATGAAGTGGAGACCCTCCGAACCCTGGTTGGCACTGGACACCAGCTCATCAAACGGCTGATGTTTGAGATGGAATGGCACAATTCCATGTGCCCTTTCTCGAGGAACATCGTGACCTCGCGAACCTCCGTGTGCTGGCACCATGAGACCTGCCACATTGTAGAGCAGATGAACGGCCCGCTGTATGTTCGTAGAGCATGTGCATACTGTGCAATGCACAGACCACCACCTGATAGGACCAACGAGCATGCACAGACCATCCGCCCGGAGCTCGATGCTTTTCTGGCCGCAGCATCTCCGTGGGCCGAGGGCTGAGATCCCCCCCCATGTTGAGACGCACGCTGTGCGCCATGTTTGACATGTCATGTCATGAGTTTCTTTTTCAAACCAACCATATCCCACCGTAGAGGGTGGGCTCGAGAAGCTTGGAAAAGCTGCGTGTGGCGTTAAGTCGCCTTTTGCCCTTAGCTTCGACCTCGTCGTTGCTTCGTATCCGTGTGCCGTGGACTTCGTGCGCTACGGCTACTTCTCTACACACGGCTTTATACAATGGGGGAATGTGAAGAACAGCGCGTTTCGGCGTTTCTACGAGAAATCGATGGTTTAATTAGAGAGTTTTAAGTGAACGATTATAGACGGTTTATGCTGATTCATGAAACTTTGTAGGTGTTTTTGTTCCAGGAGCTTTGCGAATCTTTGTGTTTTTGTTTTAGATTTGTTGCAACAATTGTGTTTTTTAAGGTGCCCACCACCCCCTCAGCTTTTGCCTCAAAGAGGCACCCTTAAATCCTTCCAGTCCGTCAGAAGCGACAGCAGTGGTGGACGGTTGGTAGGTTTTTCAAGGTCAGGGTGCACGATCTGCGACACATGTGATGAAATGGCAGATGTGTTTTGGAACTGTTGATGTTCACATCGATTTGGACATATTTGGACCCCGTCGGATCATCTTAGCCAAACAGTCTAGGCACATGTTCTTGTTTAGCATTGTCATTTGACTGATTCAAGTATACGGGTCTTGGTTTATTTTTTTGCTCCACCGGGTCCCAGAATTTGGAAAGGTGTGAAACAACAAGCAGGATTGGACGCTGGATGGACGCTGTGCAGCAAAACAGTGCCTCACCAAACTGGAAGACATAATCTATTCTCAGAACACTTGAATATACTAGGTATACTTGAATTAGGATGCGTACCGCATATAGTCTCTTCGCCTTCCTGTTTTGTTGCAGGCCGTGTTCGCAATCTGTGATGTGGGCTCATTGTTGCATTTCAATATCGACATTCCAGCAGTGGTGTCGATGGTTTGCCATGAAGGGTCAAATCAAGTTTGATAGATAACATGTCCCGAAAGACTACCCGAATGGCAGTTTCGATGTGCCATCATGTCAGTCAAGTCAAAGCTTGCTGGTGTCATGTATGGGCATCCTTCCTTTCAGAATAACAGAGTAGAAGAGTCGTATAGAGTGGTTCTGGTTTTGCCTGATGTTCCCGCCATGTCGGTCTTCGCCACAAGTTGTCGGGCCTCTAAGCAGTTTTCTGTTGAGCGTGGCGACGGAAGACTCGCACAGCTTCCTAAGTCAATTCTCCCGTTTGGATGCCCGGCCCTGATGTGATTCTTGCGATGGGTGTTTGCTGGTGTCTTCAACTGGGCATTTGGGTTACTGTAGTTACACCACATCACTCAAAATGAGGGGAAACCGGACTCACTCAAGACGACTCTTGCCTGATTCGCTTTTTCAGGCTCGGGGCTGATGGTTCCATCACTGGCAAGGCGCGAGTGGCCACCCTGAGACCTTTGAAGATGAGTGGCCACCCTGTGGGCATCTAAATCAAAAGAAAGAACAAACAAGAACTGGATCAAAAGAAAACATAACAGGATCAAAACACCATAAGAACAGAATCAAACAAAGTCATCCTGAGTAGGTCCCCTAGTCCATTGCTCCCTTGGTCCTTTGGTTCCCTCTTGCATAGGTTCCCTCTGGTCCTTTGGTCCCCTCTGGTCCTTTGGTCCTTTGGTCCCCTCCTTTGGTTCCCTAGTCACTAGTCCTTTGGTTGCCTGGTCCCTTTTCTGGTCACGGTCCTTGTCCTGGTCCCCTGATGCATGGGTCAAAAAGCACGGCCTCTGGCGAACACCAAATGCTACCCGGTTGCCTTGGTCCTTGCGTCACTTTCTGAGTTCCCTTCAGTGATGAAGCTATGGGACGTGTCGTTTTCGAGTCAGCTGCTTTTTGAGGTCAACTCGGCCATTGGCGAATCCTATCCGCTGGGCATGCACCTTCATGGTTGGGCAGCAGCATTTGCCACTTCCGCCGTTGCTTGCATCCTTCTCGAAGAGAAGTTTGGTTTCGTTTTGATGTCTGTGGATTCTGGACTTTTCCGTTGACTCAAAACTAAAAATCAACGGCTGCCCAAATTTGGAAAGTATATAACAAAGACCATCTGTTTTTTTGATGTCTTTGGACGAGAATCAAGCCGTTCAACGACGATCTAAAATCTTAACTGACATTTGTTACCGTCCTTTTGAGGGCTGCTGGTGTTTTGTGGAAACACATCAAGAAATGCGGAAAGACAAAGATCAAGGAGGTTTTCGTTTGGCTCAAACCTCAAAACATGAAGACTACACACACACACACGTGCTGCCTAGCAACACCTGCATGTACACAGTTTGTTCCCTTTAGATCATGATCACGTACTGCAGCATGTTTTGTTCCCCACACGCTGGTCTTGTTGGCTGTTTTCAGGGTACAATGTGACAGACACTGGAACCGGAGCGTCAACGGTGGACGGCATTTATGCTTTGACGGGTTGCAGCAACCCTTTGAAGATTGGAGACCGCGGCTGTGACCATGGTGGTCGTGCTCCCACGGTCACTTACAGTCATGTCTCTTGGGTGAAAGACTGGTTGTGTTGGAATTGTGATGGCGAAGTTCATGAGCTCATATTCCTTTAAATAATACACGGTCAAGATCCAGCGTGACTAGTTTCTTTTTCCAAGCATGACGTGTGCTGGCTTTCTTAGATTCTGTCAATGACTTCACCATCTTCAGCACGTTGTTTTCGAGAAACCAAAGCCTCTAAAAAAGTCACGTTCGATCGCTTAGGTGGCATTGGAATCGTGGATGTCGACGTTTCAGAACGTCTGAGATTGGATTCAACAGGAATATCCCGCCACTGCTCCCCATAATCTGGGCAGCATGGGCTATGATGGACGAGCTTCTTTATACATCAGCCGAATTCGTGATGCCGCTTGGGAGCGTGAGGGTTTGAATTTGGAGTTCTATCGTGGCTACAATGTGACCTGGCATGACCCTGCCAAGTATTTGGATGCACTAAATTCGTTAAACATGTTTTCCAGTGACATGAGATTGTCAGTGGAGCCGACGGGTGACTGGAATGGAGTTCATGTGGTGAACGAGACGGTTTTGGGAAGGTGCTTTGACAGATACTTCTGGTGTCTTGGACTGAGTGAGTTGCAACAAGGTCTCTGCAGGGCGAGATCCGGGTGTGAGGCTAGGGTTGGTTAGGGTTTTTGGCGTGTGCGGGCCTGTACAGATTTTGTGAGATTTTCCTGAGTTTGGGTGATGTTAAAATACTGTCAACTGTGATGTGAGGTACCCTCCCATATGCCGTCACGACCCTTCCACATGCTGCATCTACATCACTGGTGGAAATGGCTGGACACTGCGATGCAAAAAGCCACAACGTGGAACATGACAGCGACCGCGGTCGAAGAAACGCCTGGTTCACTCGATTGCCACTTCACGATGCTGTGCTGCTCGGCCGAAGGAAGGAAGGTGTCACACAGGATTCCAAGTGACTTCCAGACAGCAGCCATTCTGCTGATCTACCGAAGTGTTTCCAATTCACAGATAGCACAGCCAATGTGCAGAGTGTTACCCCATGGATATGCAAGCCTTTTTGGGAAGATGTTTCAAAGACATCCACATGTTGAAGCCACTGTTAAAAACACACACACACACAGTTCAAATACTAAGTTACCAAGAACACATTCTTTTCAAGACGACGCGTAGGCTTGCTACTTTGAGGGTGAAGGATTCCGGAACTTTATAGTTGTAGCTCCTCGATTGTTTCGATAGCTCCGATCGACGATTGAGGACCAAGTGCTACCACCTTTGCATGTTGAATGCGTCTCATTTTGGCGTTTGCCATAGATATTTAGCTTCACAAACAACCCGGATTCAGCTGGAGGAAAATATAGACTATAGCAGCTGCCTTTGCCAGGATTGCAATGCCATATGTTGCCATACTTTTTGAGTTGCTTCGGGTGCCAAGGGCGACATAGGTTCCGGGGATCACGCTGTTGTTTTGCTCCTATGGAAACAACAACTTCAACCCTAGGTCCTCCCAGTTGGTTTGTAATTTGGAGTTCTGTTCAACCCAAAGGCTCCTCCTTCTCCTCCTCCTCCTCAAATCCACCAAAAGTGCAGCAGTTGCATGAGCCACACATTCCAACATTGACCACTTTCCATGGCTCAACAGCCCACATCTCAGCATTTGTCCGGCTCTAAGCATCGCTTGTCACAGGCAATTGTTCTTTTTTAGCGTCGACGAGCAAAGCTCTCGTCGGCCAGTGGTGTGCCCCCTTTTGGCCAAGCGCAGGAGCCACCCGGTGTGGGGGTCGGTTCTGTTCAGGATTTGGGGAGTGTATCTGACACCCTTGAAAGCTTCTTTTCTTCCTTTTTTCCATTCGTGGTCGGTCCGGGTCCCTCCGACTCGGGTCGTTTTCCTCCCGAAGAGCTCACACGACGATCTTCCGACATCGGTGAACATTCGCTCCACGACGATGTCGGAAGATCCGTCAGAAGTTCTGTGTAGACCAGCTGCGCGGCGGCACACGAGCTGCGCGTTCGTGGAGTCCGGGACGGTCCTTATGGGACCGGACGATCTCCGGGGGCGGGAATTGATTCGGTTCTTTGGAGAAGCCCGGTTGATTTGGGGGGACGGTTTTTACTGTAGATGTTTTTAGGAGTTGATGAACGTCATGTTTGGCTGTTTGGACCCAAACTATTGGTAACCCTTTTCAAACGAGGGGGCATTAGTCTCTCTAGACTCTAGACTCTACGCCTCGACGCAAAAACCGCGTGGCACGGATCTCGTGTGGCACCATGCGGAAAGCCTGGCGCTCGATGTCACCGCGCCAGGACGGGCGCGGACCGGATGGATCGCGAGGCGGAGATCGATCGCTGGGAGATGGATGGCGTTCGTTCAGTTGGAGGTGAGTGATTCATGACACGAAGACTAAGACTTGCAAGATACCTCTCGGAGATCAAGTCTGAATTTGGGAGGTACAGCACGTGCAGTCTTGACTGGGTGACCTCTCTGACAGCCCTAAACCCTAAACCCTAGACCCCCAAAAAGAGTCTTTCAATGGCGCTGAATGCGAAAGAGGTCTTGGATGCCAATGCCGGCGGGTCGCTCAGATTCGGCGCAAAGCCGCGTCCGCGGCGGGAGTTGGTATAGCCGACTGTAGACTTGAGACACGCATCACGAACCAGTATAAAACCTGGTCTTGACGACCTCCTTAAGTACTGGTCTTGTATGACCATCTGCAGTATGTCATGAGGTCAAACTGACTTGTATGGAAATCTTGGCTCCACAACGAACATCAGCTGGTGGAGACTATAGAGACCATTCTGTTCAACGCTCGCAACATGCACGGCTGGTTGGCTTCATTGGCCTGGATGATCTGACGTTTAAACACCTTGCACCTATATAGTCGCTTCTTTCTGTGCAAGTTTGGTGGTGTGTTTCACCACGGGTACGGTTTTTTCTTTCTTCACATCCATAAGTCGGGAATTGGGCTTCACGAGAGGCAAGCTCTTTTTCAAGAATACATGTAAGTCAGACACCCAGGTTTCTTGCGGTGTGTCTCTCTTGGCAACGACCATGGAAAATCCCTATGCAGGTCATGTTGGACCTCATGAAATGTGAAATACTGAAGTGGATCATACAAAAACACTACCTCCATTTTTGGTGTTCAGGACCAAGTTCTGCTGGGTCTTTCAGGTGCCGAACAAGCCGCGCAGCAGCTGCGGGTGGCCGCCCAAGGCGGTCAACTGGAGGCCGTGACGCCTGGCCGGCAGACGGGGCCAAGTAGTGGATGCATTGTGCATTGCATCGGTCCAAACTTCACTCTTTTTTAAGAGAAAAGGACCCACAAAGTGCGGTCATTTCTTCACTCGGGTACCAAACTTGCCTTGGCCACCGGTCCGATCTTCACTCTGGTATAAGTCCTTCTTGTCACTGACGGACCGGTACGTCCTCTTACCACAGTCTGGACAGGTGTGAAGCGAGAACCGGACCGAGGTTCGTTCGTAGTCTCCGATCACTTCAGAGAGCCAGAAGCGGTCCAAATCAGGTTTAAATCTAGTTATCCAGTCATCGAAATGATATCCAAGTTTGTAGACATAATTACAAGAAGCATGAAACTGCATGCTGTAGACTCTTGATTAATGAACCCTTCCACTTGAATTGGACATCCTCTTCATATGGGGGGGTTTTATGGTCCTCAAGAGTCTACATCACTGTAGACATCCAGTGTTCTCTTCACCCTACAGGCCGCTTTCTGACCTAGTAGAGTCTGGTCCTGAACACCAAAAATGGATGGAGTAGTGTTCTTGTATGATCAACTCCAGTATATATATACACTTTGTGTTCTAAACACATCAAACAAATGCCCCAACTGCGTCCATGTCTTCAGGCTGTGCGCCAGCTCCTCCAAGAGGACGCTTTTTGCGCCAGCTCAGCGGATGGCACCGACACCGAGGGCGGGGTGGCCGAGGGGCACGGGGAGAAGAAGTTTTGGAGTCCTAAGTAGGCATTCGAAGACATGTCAAGACTCTGCAAAACGATGTCTCACTTCTGGAAAGCGATCTCTAAGATGAATAATTACTTGATTAAATGAACTTCGGTGCCCCATTGAGACCAAATTGGTAGGGTGGTTGTCCATTGACCTCTTTTTCAAGCAGCTGGTATGATTTTTCTTATCTTTGGATCCCTTGGATAGACGTCCCCCACGACCATCGTTGCCTGAGGCCGGACGGCACTGCACCTGGCGGCCCTGAACCGGCATTTGGAGATCGTCCAAGCGCTGCTCGCGCATCGCGCGGCAGTGACGGCGGACGCGGAGGGTGCCTTGGGCGAAAAACGGATGAGGATGGTGGAGGCGGACATGATTTTGGAGTATTTAGAATCAGTGATCCAGTACACCATGCGGCACCATGCGAGTAGAGAATCACATCGGAGAATTGAGCGAACAGATGCACCTGCGGGTGGAATGTGACTGTGGTGGGTGAACATCGAAGTGCTGGGTGTGTGTCAAAAATGCAGAGTCCACGACTTCCCAAGGGGTTGTTCACGAGGCTCCCTGAGATGCCTTTGAGCAGCAGACAGTGACACGGTCCAAGTCCGCTTCAAGTCCTCGTTTGGCAGACTTGGAATCCTTGATCCTGCCAAACCTTAAAACATGCAGACTTGCGCACGCATCTTGTGTTGTTTAGACCCCAAAAGCATCGATGTAACTGTCGACCCCGCATGGAGCCCCTGGTTGACGGCTTCACACTCGTCTCCTGCACTGGCTGAAGATGTAGACTTTCTGCGACGAAAGTAGGGAAACGTAGGGAAGTTTCACCCCCAATAGAGATTCTATTGGATCCAGCCACCCGCATTCCCTACTTAAGCAGACTAAGCACAAGTCAGTCTTGGTGTGTTATTTCTTGTTCAGGCGAAACGCCCCTGCACCACGCGGCCTTCAGCGGCCGCGCAGCGATCGTGGCCGAGCTGCTGGCGGCGCGCGCCAGCCGAACGGCGGAGAACGCCAACGGCGCCTCGTTTCGACCCGTAGCAGCAGGTGCCACTGCACCTTTCTGGAGGAAGAGATGGGAAGAGAAGAGTGACACAAGCAATCACAAGCAACGGATTTGGCCAATGAGCGAATTAGAGGTTTTGACTGTGCTCAGGATCTCAGGTGAAGAGCTTCTTTGAACCAAAAACCTATCATGTGAGCAGCTGTCCATTTCCGAGTCAAAGAATATTTGTTGTTACTGAAGAGAACCGTTTTACTGTTTTACTGAAGTCAAGTTCTCTTCTTCTTAGTGTGTGCGTGCTCCAAGACCTTGTAAAACGCTAAAAGCAGAGCTGAAACAGAACCAACATTCTCTTGTTCTAGCGAAAGTAAACAGCCAGTGTTTTTATACAACCCCACTTCTTGACTTCTTGAAGATGTTCTTTTGGTCTTCGGCCGCTGGTTGTTCGGACCGCCAGGTGGTGAAGGCAGCTCCAAACCTCCAGAGTTGGTTCCAAGACCGGCCTCTCATCCCACGCCACCAGCACGCCCCGCCCGAGTGGTATACGACCCACCACCACCCACCGCGTGCGCTGGGTATGCCACGCCCCGAGGCCGAACGCCCTTGGACTACGCTCAACTGAAAGGCTCCAAGGAGGTCTTGGCGCTCCTCACCGCGGCACCCGGGCAATGGGACGGGTCCGGAGCAATGGGTCGGGTCGGGAGATGGGTCCGATGGGTCTGTGGCATGCCGCGAAAGGAGAGCTTCTCCGGTCCGTCTCTTCTGAAAAAGGAGCAAGTCTTCGTTGTATGGAGATGTCAGGATCTTAAGACAACCATTAGTACAAACATTTTTAAGACATCATGGGAGGGGTGGTTCATGAATCAACAGATCTACATGAAATAGGAGAGTTCGTTTTGTCTCTTTTCGCTGAGTCCATCCAACATCGACTCAGTTGGATTCCTCGACTTGGCCCAACTGCTTCCTCTTGGTGCTCAGGAGCCTTTGGTGGATGAAGAGACTGCAAGCCAGGAGCTGGTCTTGCTCTTTTTGCAAGAAAACAACTCCTTCTACTAGGGGTGGAACTTCCTTTTCACTGGGGTGGTCGACCTATTTATCTTCTATTTTTGGAGGGAAATGGCTTGGGAGTGAAGTGTCGTTTGACTCATCATGTACAGGGTCAGGATCTTGTGATATTTGGTGTGTGAATCTCACCGACTTCATTTCTGCATTCCAAGCACTTCGAATGTCCTGGCCGACCGACGGGCCTTTGAACGGTCGCTAGTTGCTAGCGTTGGTGTTCGCGTTGGGAAGAAAGAGCCGTGAAAACGCAGAATGAAAGGGGGTGGGACCTGACCATTGGAACCTCTTTTCAGGTGGATTGTACTGCGTTGGTCCAGGCTCCAGGCTGATTCAACTGATGGGATCCTCAAAGGTTTGTTTGTCCAAACAACGTGCCAAAGGATCATTTTTGATGTAAGAAATCTGTGGGATCATGTAAAACCGGTTGATTGAGGGATCCTGAATGCTAATTAGATGACAGGCCACC